AACTATACATTACTCAATTTCTTAATTTAAAAGTAAATATTAAAAACAACCCAAATAAACATCGATTTTTTTGTGTGTCACATGGTATGTTGAAAGCAGCACTGGTTCAAATTAGATGTTTGTGAAGTCAAAATACTAAGTCTATAGTTTCATATGAATTAGAAATTCAAATTACAGATATTGACAAGCTAGAATATAAAATAAGGAGGTCTTATCTTTTCAATTTTCAAAGATATTGCTCACTTAATAAATCAAACACAGTGGCACCCCACTCACCTATTTCCATGTTTGGAAATGCTCACTTGTATACACTTCTATATATGTGACAGAAGCTCAGAATGTCCCCCTTGTGGTTTTCTCAACCCTTCTATTGTACCTAGTGCCATTGCTTTCTTTTGAACCAAGATTTCAATGAGGTTGTTTGTGTCTTTAGTCTGCTCGTAATCTCATTTTTCTTACCCAAATACAGTTTGATAAATTATAGTAGAATTCTGTGGTATTAATGTAGTAATTTATGATTTTTTAGTTATTCAAAAGTATATATAAAAACCTAAATAATTTTGTTTCACATCCTCCATGTGTAAAATTTTTAAAGGCTTAGCAAGCTAAAACAAGCAGCAACCAAGTACAAAGGTTGGAACTAGAAGAGAGAATTGTTCGCTTCTTTATTTACTGTTCTGTGTTTTAAGAAAAATAAGTTTAAGAAGTTATTTGTAAATAGTAATAATCTATACACCTATATAATGTATAATAATTGAAATGTGACTGTATTTTGCAAAATACCAATCCACTGAAACACAACCAAGACAGGTCACTTTGTAGAGACTAAAGGTCAGTTTTATATTATTGGATACTATAACATGAATGCATGTGCCCTGCATCAGTATAGCTTCTGTATTGTTAGTCAGACATGGCTGAAAGGTTAATATAATAAAAATAAATATATATAAATGTATAATGTTATGAGATTTAAGCTATTTAGTGTAAACATATATGTTTTTGTATTATAATTTGTAGTCATTGTAGAACAAAAAAGGCATAATTTATATCTATTTCCTTTTTTTTTTTAATGGTGGTTGCGAGATTGGTCAAATTGACCAAACCCGTACAGATATTTGTTTGTGAAAATAACAGATAAAATGTAAAGTTTTTTCTTAAAAAACATTTGATAACTGTTTGGACACTATAAGGATTTCGCATGTGAAATTTCAAAATTTTCTGATGTATGAAAGTATTCTTAATCTTAAAATGAAAATTTCTTTGCATGCTGGATAGGTAACAAGGCGAAAAGAAAAAACAAGGACGAGAAAAAAATTAAATATCTTATTTTTCACAAACTACATACTTTTAGGACCTTTCATCTCAAATTTAAAAGAATTTGGTCCACTAGTTTCAGTTTTGTAAAGAACGTTCACGAGAGTTGCATACCTACTTACATTATAAGTAGGTCATAGTTAAAAAAGAAAGTATGGTGAACATACTTGGAATACTTTTATATCATCTTTTGTCTCATTTCTTCAAAGATGGGTTTATCCATTTAACAAGTTTTAATTTCTACAGTAAAGGATAAAGTGATTATGTATTTAAGTTGGTTTATTCTGTTTAATTTATAAATTCTTAGTGTTATTTGGTGGAAATGATTGCCAAATCTAAATATTCTGATTATGATGCTTACCATTAAGTTGAAACTGTTATAAGTGGTAACAGTATACCTAATTTAATACAAAGTACAGACAAATCCTGTAGGTTAGTATGATGCTTTAATGTAGAGCTGGATGAATAGTGGAATTTTCTAATTGATTAATCATCAGATTCTTTAATTCATTATATTCACTAGATGGCTATAAAAAATTATTTTTTTCACATGAGTTGTCTAAAAAACACACTAAGTAATACTACAAGTTGGGTTTTGATTCCTAAGATGAATAGAGCAGGGATATCCCATTGTATACTTGATGCTTAACAATGAAGAAGCATAATGGCAGCATTGAATTACTTAGGTAGTTGGTATAATCAAAAATAATAATAATTCAAAAACCTAATTTTGATTAATTATTTATTTTCATGAGTTGTGACAATAATCAGTTTAGCTAAACAAACTTGAATTAATGAAAAGGAGTAATAATCAGAAACACTAATGTAGATTTGTTGATTATTTTAACATTCATCAATTTAATGATACTTTTTGGTTATTCGTTTATTTTTATTTGACGTGAACTGATGTAACTGATACTTTTAAATAGTTAATTGTATTGATTAATGATACAGCTCTCATGTAATGGTCCTGTGAACTTGTATATTGAACACTAAATGTAACTGTGATGTTGAAATATATCAAGTAAAAGATTTCTATAATAAACTTAAAAAAGAGGTGTATGTAGTTGTAACTGAACTTTGAATATCATTTATATCATAATATTGAGGCCGACATCAACATTTGTCAGTTGATGGAGTTATTTCCAAATAAATTATATTAGAAGAAGAGAAATTAATATCCATCATCGTCAGAGTATGGTAAGAAATTACCAAAGTATTGGCAAAACATTATATCTTCTTTTGTAAAATAAAACATCTTTTTATTTGAATTTTCAAATAAGCATATTTTGAATTCAGGTAAGGTTTTTAATACCTAAGACTAAGATTGCTTATATTACAAGTGTGTAAATCTGTTCACTGGAATGTTTTGAGCTAAAGTTATAAACATCTTTATTGTTTTTCATTGTACTGTTCATGTTATGATGATGCACTTGAGATGGATGTTGGTAAATTTTAGGTCAAGAAAGTGATATCATAAATTGGATCTTTGTATATCAACTCTTATGTACGTCCTTCAGTCATTCTTAGTGTCATAGTCAGATTTACAGTTTTTCAGAGAATTCTTATGGTGTAGCTAACAGCAAGATTAATGAATACAAGTTAAATTGAATTAACTATGATTAGGTCTGTTTCTTATAGGCTTCCACTATTGATGGCCGACGTAAAGGAGCTTGTCTCTTCTGTCAAGAGTACTTCATGGATCTCTACCTCCTAGCAGAACTAAAAACTATATCATTAAAGGTATATAAGATAAATTGTATAGCTTATGATAAGTAAATGTGTTTTATGAATACAGTTTAAATTATGAACATAATGTAGAAGTTAATACAGTACACATGGGTAGATAATTACTGTTTTGTATGTACTACTCTAGTAACAGTTAAAAGTGCTTGAGTAGACACACATGATGTAGTTTTTTAGCTGAAATTGTACATAGTTTCTTGTTCTCTTTCTCGTCACTTTACCCAATTTATGTTTCATGACTTTTTGTTAAGCATATCCTTTGTTGGAGCATTTACATTTGTTTGGGCTGATGTATATGTGTGCAGATATTAAGCTACACGTGAGATGTTAAGGAAGTCTTATTAGCAGTTATAGGCAGACTATGGTATTCTTTTTTTTATTGCTAAAGGAAAATAAATTCAAAATGAGAATTGTTTGCTAACCAGGTTGTCTGTTAAATATTATTGATTGAAAATTTTTACAATTTAAGTACTTTAGGTGATGTGAAGGGGAGGAGTATGTGTATTTGAAGAAATTAAGAAACACATAAACAAACTAAATATTTAGTTAAAAAGTACACTTTCTCAGGTTGCTGCTAACAGTAAAAATTGAGTGTTGGATTTCATGTAAACATTGACTTCAAAAGTAATCAATGTAGTTTATGGTGTGTGTGTGTATGCAAACATACTGTAATTATCAATAAATGTATGTACAGTGTAGGAGGCTTATAAGTAAATTTCATGGTTAATGACTTCAGAAACTTGTTTTTGAGATCAAGCCTAATTTTTTAGGTTTGTGAACAGAAGTACACTATACTATGTATTAGGTCATCAAGAAATTAATGTCTCGTTTTGGAACACTTTCATTAACCACCTCCAAAAAACATACATCATGTATAATAGTTAAATGAA